GCTAAAGTGATCAGGTAACAGAGGTCTCAGTGAGCAGAGCTTGACTGCTCTGGACAGTCAGGAGGTCTCTCCTCTGCATCCTGTGCACACTGCCCATTAACCGTCCTCTTTTCTGTGCATAGTACTGGGAGTGGTTGGCAATGATGGTTGATACCCCACCCTCTCTCCCCTGGTGCTGCTCATTCAGCATGAGGGTGACTTCCTGGGCTGAGCAGGTGTTTATTCAGGTGGGATCAGTACCATCCTCTCCTTCCCTGGTGTTCCTGGGCTCCTCTTACAGTCATCTCTTGAAGAAGGGAATCCAGAGGGTGGGGCCATTGCCATCAGCTTGGTTATGGATCTTCTTCTTGTCTTTCTTGATTGCAGTGATGCCAGAGAGGGTATTCGGAGGTTCACAGGACGTGGAACAGAGCAATCAAGAGCTAACCAGTTTGCCAATGAATGGGGTCGGAGTGGTAGAGACCCCAACTACTTCCGACCTCCTGGCTTGCCTACTAAATACTGAGTTTTCTCTTCATGTTGTTCCCAGCCATGCAGACCCCAAAGAGGCAATTACTGACTTGAATTAGTTCCTAAACTCTGGATCCCTAAGCACCCCAAAATGTTTAATAAATACTTGTGAAATATAAACTTGTCATTGTCATTTGAAAGAGTACAGGGCAGTCATATTGAGGATTGTAGGCCATGGGAATGACCAAGAAACACCACTGTTTTGTTTTTTTTAAAGAAAGAGATATGAAAAGATAGGAGTTGGAGTATACCTCTATATGTCCATACGTGGACCAAAACATGTATTATGTATCCCCTCAAACACAGGCAGATAGCAAGAAAGCATTGTGTATGATTTCAGTTATGAAGTTAAAAACTAGATAAAAATTAACACTTCCTGAGCTGAGGATGAAGCCTAGCATGCATGAGGCCCTTCCTTCCAACCCCATGGGCTCCCCATGAGATTCTTACTTAGCAAAATATAACTCACAAAGACTGAAGATGAAATCAAAGCCATCCTGTAATTGTTTTAAGAGATTGATGCTTCCCACAAAGAAAGCCTCAGATCTAGATGTTTCTATAGATAATGTTAACCCCCCAAAAAGGCAAGTCACTCCCATTTTGTAAAATTAATTCTGGAGAGAAGAAGTCACATTCTGCAATAACGTCTCTGGGATAGAAAAGCTTTGGCACCCCCCTCCCTACAACCTGCAAGAAATGATCAAAAAGCAAAAGTATGCTGATCTATGATGGACTGACTCCAGCAGTGACCAGCTCCAGGCTCGAGGTATAGCCTGGGGCTTCTCCCTATACACAACCCCTGAAGATCTCCAATCTTGGAAACTGGGGCTCAGATATTCCATGTTGTTTCTTTACCCAACCATAGCCTTCCCTGGGTCATGCTGGCTCAGGAAGTCCCTTTCTGTCTGGGCAGCTGTGTCCTCTGTCATTAGCTGCCTCCTCCAATTCTGGTCTCCTGTTTGTCCCTCCCTTGCTTCAGTGGCCTAGTCCCAGGAGTTCTTGCATCTCTCAACCACTCCTTTGCTAGGGTGCAAACTAGTTTGTATTCATAGTATATATATATAAATTCTTGCTTGCTGAGGCCAGGCTGCAGGCCTTAACATAGGCGGAAGAAGACAGAGAGGCCCCAGCAGAGGGGTCCAGTTTCACCTCATCCAGTAGAGTCTTTTGGAAGGCAGCAGAGGAGAGGTTTTCCTGATCAGCCATGGTCTGCAGCTCCCGCGTGCAGATGCAGGAGGCCTCCACAGCATTGATAAGCAGGGAGCAATTGTATTGAAGTTGGCATTTCCTAAACCACTTTCATAGGCTGGCAGTGTATCTCAGCAGTTGAGTCCTCGCCTATCTAGGTTCAATCTCTAACAGCTTGGAAAGAAAACAACAGAACACACACACACACACACACACACACACACACACACACACACACACACACACACACGAGATGGGGCATGGTGTCAGCTAAAATACCTGTTAGGGGCTGTGCGGTGGTGGTGCACACCTTTAATCCCAGCACTTGGGAAGCAAAGGCAGGAGGATCTCTTAGTTTGAGACCATCCTGGTGTATAGATGAGTTCCAGGACAGGCTCCAAAGCTACACAGAGAAAGCCTGTCTTAAAACAACAACAACAAAAATACCTGTTAGGCCCAGAGGACACAGAACCATCTTATGAAATTGTCATGGGTACGACTTTTTCTTCCTTTCCTGCCTCTCACTTCTGCCTGCCCCTTCTCCTTCCAGGAGGGGTCAGAAAGAGCAGCTGGTGATCTGTGTGCGGAAGAACACGGACAAGAAAACAAAATCGTCCCCAACCTACAGAGCCTATTCAGCATGAGCTGAATTAGGAAAGGGGAGAGAACGTGCACTCTAAGTGAGTGGGAAATCCCAATCATTATGTGGCCCCAAGGTCTGCAGTCCTCGTGGTTAATTCAACTAAGTCTTCAAGCTCATGGTTTAAAATCATGCAAGGTTGTTGATTTCCTATGAGTAACCAGAGAAGCATGAATTGACCTGTGCTTTCATTCAAGGACAACAGAAAGGGGTGTTTGGAAAAAAGAGAGAAAAGAATAACTACTTTCTGGTTATAGATAGTAATTCTGAGAGAGAAGGACCAGGAAAGCTTGGTTGGGTAATGACAAATCAGAAGATACCGTAAACAAGAGCCACAATTAATCCAATTTCCTGCCCCTAGGATTCTAAGAGAAAAAGAAAACTCACAAAGCATGTATGTAAACATCAGTGTAGTAGTGTGACCCACAGAGAAAAGAATTCAAAACCCACAAAACCCAAAACAAAACTTCACCTGGAGTTGCTGGGCATGATGGCACCTGCCTACAATCCTAGCTGCTGGAGGTGGTGGCCTGAGGATGGTGAGTAGCAGGCTAGCCTGGGCTATGTAGCTTGACCCTGTTCAAACAAAGAGTCAAACAAAGAATAAAAACCCACAAGTGAATGCTGAAATGTAAGATGATGTAATGTATAAACCAACCACTAATGAAAGACTGACATATCTTAACATGTACCTGAAATACACCCCTCCTCCTGCACAGTGTGTGTGTGTGTGTATACAGGTTTGTATGGTGTGTGTTTGTGTGTGTGTGTGGTGTGTATGGTGTGTGCGTGGTGTATGTGTATGTGTGTGGTGTGTGTATGTGTGTGTGGTGTGGTGTGTGTGTGGTGTATGTGTGTGTTGTATTGTGTGTGTGGTATGTGTGTTTGGTGTGTGTGGTGTATGTGTGTGTGTGGTGTGATGTGTGTGGTGTATGTGTGTGTGATGAGTGTGTGGTGTGTGTTATGCAGTGTATGTGTGTGGTGTGTGTGTCTGGTGTATGTGTGTGGTGTGTGTGGTGTGTGTTATGCAGTGTATGTGTGTGTGGTGTGTGTGTGTGTGTGGTGTATGTGTGTGGTGAGTGTGTGTGGTGTGTGTGTTATGCAGTGTATGTGTATGTGGTGTGTGTGTGGTGTATGTGTGGTGAGTGTGTTTGTAGTGTGTGGTATATGTGTGTGTGTGTGTGTGTGTGTGTGTGTGGTGTGTGATGTATGTGTGTGTGTGTGGTGTATGTGGTGAGTGTGTGTGATGTGTGGTGTGTATGTGTGGCGTGTGTGTAACAAGACAAGCTCTGTGAAACACTTGGCGTTTTGTGTGCAACAGAAACAAAGGTTTCACGAAACAATGCCAATATTTGGTCTATATAATGGCCTCCGGTAGTTTTCCTTTTGTCCTAGCCTTGTCTGTGTCTTTAAAAATGTGCAGGTAGGACACATTTCAAGCCTTAAAAAATAGGTCACCATTCTTGAAATCAAGTAGCTTTGATCACACTGCCCTGAAAAGTAGCTGTGCTCAGGTGTAGTCTCTCTTCAGTGTGTGGAATTCTCCCCTCTCCGCCATCCTGTTTATACTCGGAGTGGTCAGATTTCAGCTGTGGGGATGCAAAGTGGTAACTTACACTGATTTAAATTTACATCTCCATGGAATGTACGTATCTTTGTGAATGGGGACTGAACCCAGGGCCTCGGGCATAGTTGGCACACGTGAGCTCTGTCCCCGACCTTCATGCATTTTACATAAACCAGACTTGGAGATCCTTTAAACAGCCCCTTCAGTTTTGTCTCCTCTTTTGTGAATTGCCTATTTCTATGTTCTGTCTGTTTTCTTAATGAGTTGTCTCTTTCTTACTGATTTATTAGTTATAAGATTTTATTGTTCTTGATCCTGAGCCTATGTTATTTATAGACTGATTTTCCCCCAATTTGAAGACGTACATATCATCATTAGACAGCATCTCGTTGTGAAGCACAGACTGCCTTAAATTTGTGACAATGCCCTTCCTCAGCCTCTCAGGTGCTGAGGTCACAGGTGTGAGCTACCATGTCCAGCTGAGCCTTATGCAGAATGATAGGAATGTAGCAATTAATTATTTTATGTATTTCGCCTGTATGTGTGTCTGTGCATGTCTGGTGCCCGCGGAGGCCAGAAAAAAGCATCGGATCCCCCTGGAACTGGAGCTACAGAGGGGTGTGAGCTGCCATGTGGATGCTGGGAACAGGAACCCGATCCTCGGTTAGACCAGTGAGTGCTCTTAACCGCTGAGCCATCTCCCCAGTCTGAGAAATGTGGCAGTTTCTCACATTAGGCTCCTGTGTATTTTAAGAAAACCCTCCCTATCTCTGAGGTCATAAAATGTTCTTTACAGTTTCTTCTAGACGTAAAAGTTTTGTTTTATATATTCGGTTCTTCATCCAGATTCAGCTTGTATTGAAGTCCCACATCCAAGCATCTCTATAATCCTTTTCCTCCTCTTTTTTTTCCCCCTTCCCTTGCCCTCTTCGGTCCAGACAAAGGTAATGCTGATGTGTGCTTTCCATGCTCACGCCTGGTCCTGGGTGGACACTTTGGGGGAGATTCCCACCCGTTCTGCAGGAATCTGACGGCAGGGGGCGCTGTGCGGAGCCGCGCTGGGTGCGTCGGGCTCTCTGGCACGTCCTCTCGCCTCCTCCGGGCTTCCGGCGTGGTTTCTGCGCGCCAGCATGGACCGTAACCCGTCGCCTCCGCCGCCTAGCTGCGATCAGGAGGACGAGGAGGACCTGGCCGGGGGAGACTGCATTGGGAGCACGGTCTACAGCAAGCACTGGCTCTTCGGCGTCCTCAGCGGGCTCATCCAGGTGGGGAGACTCGCGCAGGCGCCCTCGGAACCAAGGGAGTGGATGGGATGCTGGAGGTTCGCGGTGCCAATTCCTAACTTCCCAGAGCACCACCACGCACATACTTCACTCGGATTTTGCTTCCCAGCCCCATTGTCACTTCTGAAGTCGAGACTCTGCCATTCCTGTTTCGTCGGCTCTTGTCATAGTGGAGTGCATAGTTTGGAGTCAGACAGCCCTGATCTCCGAGACACGAGCTCATCCCATGCTGGAAGCGTGCTAGTTAACCCAGAGCCTCGGTTTCTTTCACACTTTGTATAAAATAAGATAACCAGTATTGTCGTACACAGGTTTTTTATGTAGATTGAGATTATAATGACAGTAGAGTGCTTGAAATGTGTTTGGTTTACAGGAACTGTCAGATTTTTTGCATACTGCCTTCCATACCGCCAATTCCTGTTTTTGTTTTTGTTTTTTTCAGAGCCGTTTTTCTACATAGTGGCCAAAACAGACTTCCTTTTTATTACTTTTAAAGGGTGTTTTTGTTATTCATAAGAGAAAACTTTCTGTTTCTTAACTGGGGCTCCAAGGCTGGTCGCATCCCCTTCAGCCTCCTTTTACTTAACTTAACGTTGTGTTCCATCACCAGTAGTCTGTTGGCCATCTCCAGACGTGTACTGTGCTTTCTGAACTCTTGAACGCACCTCTGAATGCTCATCTCATTTCGCCAGGACAGAGTCGTGCCCTTCACTTTCTTCTTTTAAGAGAAATGTCTTTCTTCTCCCAGGAACAGGTCATTGGTCCTTCGTTTTTCCTCCCATAGCCCTTCACCAGTTCAGCTAAGTCCGCCTTCTCTATTGTGACTCAGTTTCCATGTCTTTTCTACACTAATCCTAAACTGTTTGAAAGCGCAAGTTTATTGTTGACATTTCATTCCTGTGTTTTTCTGTTGCCTACAGACACTGTTTACTCCAAGAATATAGAACGTGTAGATCTATCCAAGGCTCTAGGTTTTAAAAACTGTTTTGCCAGAGGAAATGCTTTAGGGATACTCTCTTGGAGACTTCTAAGTGATAATATTACTTGGAGAACACTGAGTATTTTAACTGATCTTTTTTTTCTTTATGTTTCTGAAGATTGTCACACTTGAAAGTGACAAGTCCGGCTCAGATGATGATGAGCAGCAGATGGAGCTTGCTGAAGAAATGGAGAATGAAATTTGCAGAGTCTGGGATATGTCCATGGATGAGGTATGAGGATGGAAGTGAAATTCTGAAAAGACTCAAGAGTGAAGAGGTTTTAAAAAGATTCATTCCTTCACTGTTCAAGGGACTGTAGTCTCTCCAGTTTGTGGTTCAGGGTATGAAGTCCTAGGAGCTATTAATGTCAAAATTGTGCCTTGAACATACATACAGTTTCGTCCTATGGACAGCATAGTGTATTTAACATAAATGTGAACTAAGATAGCCATGACATCACTACGCAGTATAATTTCATGGGGCCACTGACATACATACATATATACATATATATATATGTATATATGTATATATGCATGTACACATACATACATATATATGTAGTCATCATCGACTGAAACTTTATTATGTAGTGTGTGTTTTATAATTGGCATACCTCAAAGCTAACAGATTTAACTTTTGCACCTTATATTCCTCGGTGAGTGCCATCTCTTTGGGGTCTTTATTTATTTTTTTTCTTTGAAGGATTTTGGAAACCCAAGTCCCAATATTGGACGTAACTCAGTAGCACTTATCTCAGTTTTAGGTTCTTACAGGGTAGGATTTAGGAGTTGATTCCTTCTCCATACCCCTTTCTCACCCCCAGCTTCTAACTTAAATCTGGCAGTCAGCAAATGTGTTTGGATAAGTTAATGAGAATTCTGGATGGACAGAAAAAATGTATTCGGTGCAGAATAAAAGGAGGGCTGTTCTCTGGTGTGTCTCAGTCAGGGTTAGATTTGCTTATGGGTTTGTTCTACTGTCTTGGGACCGAGTACCACAAAGGCTCTTCTGGTACATTTGTCTTTTTATTTGGTTGGGTTTTTTGTTTTGTATTTTTCAAGACAAGGTTTCTCTGTGTAGCCCTGGCTGTCGTGTAGACCGAGTTGGCCTTGGACTTACAGAGATCACCTGTTTCTGCCTCCCAAGTGCTGGGATTAAAGGTGTGCACCACCACTTCCTGGCTTACTGTGTCTTTTTGACACTGTTCCTGACCTTTGATTTTCCCCTTGCGGATGAAAGGAAGTAAGCAGGAAATTAAACTTTTAGGGTTGTCTGAGCTCTGGAGCTTGAGCAGTATGCAGCATCAAAATTGCTAATCTTTTTTGTTTGTAGGATGTGGCTTTATTTCTCCAAGAATTTAAGGCTCCTGACATATTCATGGGAGTGCTGGCCAAATCCAGGTGCCCCCGATTAAGAGTAAGTGTGTACAGTTCTTCTCTCTAGTTTTGCTTATGCAAATAAATCGGTGTAAAAATACTTATTGGACATTCTTAGGTAACATACTCCTTGAAATGACTAGATATTTAGAATTTTAGATTTGGATTAGATTAGGGAGAGCAATAATTTAACATCTGTGGAAACCAGATAGGCATAACCATACTAGGCTGCTAATAAGTGACAGAACCAGAAACAGTGCCTAGACCCGCTGTTTATTTCTCAGTTCATTGTTCTTCTTATTCACAAAGCCCTCCATTGCCTAACAATGTCTTAAAGTTGTTGCTGGTCAGGACTCCCACAGTCTGATTGTGAGAACTCTGGTGTACAATCTACCTGCACGCTCTTCCTGGTCGAGGGCGGTCTGCATCCCGGCTCACCAGCATGCCACCATTTCTGGCCTTCCCTTCCCTTTCAGTCTGTTACTCAGTGTGGCACTTTTCTGCCTTGTGGTCATTGCTGAGAGCAAGCTCCCCAGAGCAGCAACTGGAACTCTGTGAGTGGTGCAGTGCCCCGAGCTTTCCTGCCATGTCTGTCTCTGTGTGCAGTGCACTCCGTGAGCAGTGCAGTGTCCCGAGCTTTCCTGCCTGTCTCTGTGTGCAGTGCACTCCGTGAGCAGTGCAGTGTCCTGAGCTTTCCTGCCTGTCTCTGTGTGCAGTGCACTCTGTGAGCAGTGCAGTGTCCTGAGCTTTCCTGTCTGTCTCTGTGTGCAGTGCACTCCGTGAGCAGTGCAGTGACCCGAGTTTTCCTGTCTGTCTCTGTGTGCAGTGCACTCTGTGAGCAGTGCAGTGTCCTGAGCTTTCCTGTCTGTCTCTGTGTGCAGTGCACTCCGTGAGCAGTGCAGTGTCCCGAGCTTTACTGTCTGTCTCTATGTGCAGTGCACTCCGTGAGCAGTGCAGTGTCCCGAGCTTTACTGTCTGTCTCTGTGTGCAGTGCACTCCGTGAGCAGTGCAGTGTCCCGAGCTTTCCTGTCTGTCTCTGTGTGCAGTGCACTCCGTGAGCAGTGCAGTGTCCCGAGCTTTCCTGCCGTGTCTGTCTCTGTGTGCAGTGCACACGATGTGTGATTGTCAGTGTGTGTTGGGTGACTGTAGTCTATGAACATCCACTCTCTACTCTCGGCCTTTACTCCTCCTTTGAGACACACGTAATAGATAAAGAGCCAAGTCTCAAACTAAGATAATGTGTCCAGACTCACCCCCCTTGTGAAGACGGAGCTGGAGTGTGAGCCTCTCCCAGCTCCAGTGTAACCCTGGTTAGTGTTGCTTCTTTTCCTTTGAGACAAAGTGGAAAATTCCGTGGGGTGTATTACAAATTGAATGTTGAATGAAGATTAAAAGATACTTACATATTTATGGATATGGATGCTTTGTCTGCGTGCATGCCTGTACTCCAGAAGAGGGCACTGGATCTCATTGTAAATGGATGGGAGCCACCATGTGACTACCAGGAAGGAAGGGCAGCCAGTGCTCTTGACTGCTGAGCCGTCTCTCCAGCTCCTTGAATTAAGGTTTTTATTTAGTGGGATTCTCTACCCATAATGGGTCCATATATTAACATAAAGTGCTGACAATTTGGTAGCATTCCCCTCGATTTTACTGTTTTTTATATGAATCATGATTAGTTCAGGAATTAGCCACACTGCTGTAAATGTGTCCTGGCCACAGCCTGCTACAACAGTGGTTCTCAGCCGTGGCCATATGATGGAATCACTAGGCCACCGATCTTAAACGTCAGATGTCCCAGGTCACTGGTGCCAAACCCACCTCAAAAGCATCTGGTCCAGTAGGTCGGGGCCGGACTTGGGTGTCCGCTGTGTTCCCAGGTGATGTCAGTACTTTAGACCAGGGCCATACTCTTTTCAAAAGCTTTGTCCTGGAGGACCTTCAAAAGTCAGGCCACATCTCCACATGTGGGAGTCTAAGCAGTTTTTGACATCTACCAGGGACTCCCATGAGCAGCCCAGACAGGAGCTTGGTCTTCAGCAGAAAGGTCACTCCTTACCTCTCTAGTGTATAAGAGATTGTGTGTTTTCTGCCCCAGATTGCTTGCTCTTTTCCCAATGTTTGACCCGCCTGCGTTTAACTAAACTCTTTAGTCCCTCTTTTGCTTTCATCGGCTTTTGTCCCTTCCTGTTTCTTCCTGTGCCTGAGTCTGGACTCTGTCCAGAGAGCACAACCCTGTTCTCGTTAACGGTCACTTCCCTCGTGAGCCCGGGTACACTTAGGATACGGGGTTGAGCCTGCAGGCTCCATCTGCATCTTGAAAGCACTAGGGATACAGGCACATGCCACACCACAGGCAGCTTAGCTCCGTGTCTTACTCTCCTAAGTCACAGCTCCATTCCTGCAGTGCCACAAGCCCTGACTCCCCTTTGGTAACTGGTGTCACTTGAAACCTTCTTCAGGAATTTTCCACCTGCGTGACTATTTTCTAATCCCGTATCCTCTGTTCTAATTCAGTGATCATCACACTGATCATAAGAACTCCCGATGCACTTAGTAAACACCAGCTCCCGAGGCTGTACCCTGGAGATTCTGAGTCAGGAGAGTTGATGGGGCTTAGAAACTGCTGGCAAACCCCCTGAGTGTGGCGTCCCAGCCAGTTTGGGAACCTTGTTCTGTGTGAACGCACTGGGTCCTTTCTTCTTAATTTTTCCTGTTGATAGGACTGGTACTTCTGACTGGGAAACCGAGGCAACCTCACTCCCGTGAGCTGTGCCTTACACTCTCTCTTCACCTTCTGACAGGCTGTTTGCCTTCCCCTCTAGGATCTTCAGCTCTGAGCTTTTCCATGCCCGCCGTCACCCCTCATTGATAATAGCAGCCATGTCTTCTTAGGCGGAGTACCTTGGTACACCCAGCTCCGGACTGCTGCTCTATCCCACTTGGAGACCTTAGGCAGGTTGCTTGTCCTCCCGGGGTTTCCTCATTTGAAAAGTGGGGACAATACAGTCCCCATCTTGTGACTACTGTGTGAAACGATACATGGATAATGTGCTTCGCTGTGTTGTGTTCCCTCTCTGAGAACCTTCATGGCTCCAGATGCCATCCCATATTAAGTCTAAACTCTGAGCATGACAGTCAAATCCTTTTAATCCTGATCCTTTTCCTCTGCTGTATTTCTCATGTTTCCCGTCTCCCGTTCCTGTGCTCTCTCCATTAGTTGTCCATGTTAAGAACGCTTTCCACCAGAGCGTTTCTTCAACTGTGATTTCTGCCTTTGGACTTCCTTTGTGTCTTTTATTCCTTCTCAACTGCGTGAGCTGTATAAGCCAATTATATAAATCTGGGTGCCATCAGTAAACTTCCATATTCTGCCTCCTCCTTTCCTCCCCCCAAACTTGGTTCAGTAGAAGTTTTTGTTGACGTTGTTATTCTTGTGGCTTTTACCTCACAGCCATTGTGACTTGTGTTCTTTGATTTGACAGGAAATCTGTGTGGGAATTTTAGGGAATATGGCTTGTTTCCAGGACATATGTGTGTCCATCAGCAGCTGCGAGGATCGTGGGTAAGTCCTACTACCTAATAGCCGTGTTTCTCAGGATGGGTTCTAAGTTTCTATCCCAAGGGAACCCTGGTACCTAGAAGTAAGTGTGGAGTGTGGTGTTTCATTGTCTCGGGACACCTGTGTGTTGATGTGGCCTCTGTAGCCGCTATGGACATGACTCAGGACCGAGCCTGGGCATCCACGGTAAGGCATGAGTCATCACAGTGAGCAGGTGGGCAGGGAGAAGAATGTGAAGAGCCTAAGGTGAGCTAGGGGCCGCTGGCCGGAACCCAGAACAGTGTGAGCCTAGCGAATCCAAGGACCCAGAACTAGTCTGGGAAACTCAAGTGCTGAACAGTGTTGCTCTGAGAACTTTGACTTAAATCAGGGAGTGGGACTCGCCCACAGACTGGAAGATAAGAAGTTCCCTGTGGGATTAAAAGGCTGATTAAAAGGACAAGCCTAGAGGCTGGTTCTCTTCTGAAGCCAGGAAGCCTTGGGCAGAGGGCTTTTTAATAGTGGCGTCTCCGGTGGTTATCGGATCTGAGAACATGATCCATTTGATGGCATACTCATTTTCTTGGTGGTGGTTCATGGCTGTTAACTTAGGATCTTAAAGAGGTCTGTGTCCAGCATATGTTAAAGTGATTGTCCTTATCAGAGGGTAGTAAGGGTTTATCCCTGTCGTCAAGGACCTGGGCCTTTTGAATTGTTTTTGTTACATCCATACACAAGGTGTTCCAGGATGAATCGAAGAACACATGAACAATGATTTTGTGTCACTTAGAAACAGATAAAAAGATGCACAGATAACCAAAAGATGTTTTAAGGAAAAACCATAGCTGCTTTCATATAAAATTAAATGCAAAATCAGAAATCTATTAACAAAACTATGGAGCAGAGCAAGGAGATGATTTCTGGGGAAGACAGGGTTACCCTTTCAAGGTGGGAAAGGAACGAACACATTGGGGGCGCAAAGGGAGCTGCAAATAGGCAACTCTGCTCTGTTCCTTAGAAACATGAGTGTTTGCTCTAAAACAGGGATTCTCAACCTGTGGGTCGTGACCCCTTTGGTGGGGTGTCGCATATCAGATATTTACATTACAATTCGTAACAGTAGCAAAATTACAGCTATGAAGTAGCCACAAAGTAATTTTATGGTTTGGGGGTCACCACAACATGAGGAACTGTATTAAGGGGTCACTGTGTTAGAAGGTTGAGAAGCACTGCTCTAGAATTCACTGCATTTATGCTTTGTCTTACAATTAAAAAAAAATGTTTAAAATAAAATGAAAGCTGGTTCTTCCCAATGAGTGAAGCTCATGGTTCACTGTGGCTCTGCAGGCAGGTGCTTCTGCAGTGTTTGTGTGACTCGGACCCACCCACTCTGCTAGAGACCAGCAGGTAAGCCTGTCTCTCCCTGGGGTCTGTCAATCCCTCATCGGGGACCCGGGAAAGCAGATGAATTCTGGACTGTTGGCGGCCTTTGCTGTGTTCCACGTAGATACTGAGCTCACATCTGTCATGTAGGTTGTTGCTTACTTGCCTTTCCCAGACAGAAGTGGCCAGTGTCTGGGTTGAGAGGATCCGGGAACATCCATCTATTTACACTAGTGTTTGCTTCATCATGTCAAGTTCGACAAATGGTGAGTCACCATGAAATCCGGGGAGAGAGATGAGAGTACATTGGAGGAAGCTACTTTAGACTTTTCATTTTAAATTTTATGTTTTCATTTTTTAAATTTATGGGTGCTTACCCGCATGTATATCTGTGTATCACTTGCATGCTGGTGTCTGCCTGGTACCCACAGAGGCCAGCAGGAGGTATCAGATCCCCTAGGACTGGAGTTGCAGACAGTTGTGAGCTGCTTGCAGTGTGGGTGCTGGGAATCAAGCCGGGGTGCTCTGGAGTGCCAGCAAGTGCTCTTAATGGCTGGGCCATCTCTCCAGCCCCAAACAGCCACTTTGCCCTGAAGGAAGATAAGCCAGTTTAAAGAGGCTCCTGGAGACCCCCTGGAAGGAAGCGACACCTTGGCAGATGTGGCTCTTGAGCAGCTGGAGGAGTGGTACCTCCCCCTTGTAGCTTCAGACACTTGGGTTCTCAGTTGAACCCTGTCTTCACTGCAGTGGACTTGCTGGTGAAGGTGGGGGAGGTCGTGGACAAGCTCTTCGACTTGGATGAAACGCTCATGTTGGAGTGGATTAGAAATGGGACTGCCTGGCCTCTGGACCAACCCCGGGAGGACTCTGAAGAGCAGCCGGGGCTTTCGATTGTCCCCTGTGTACTGGAAGCCGCCAAACAAGTACGGTAGGTGAACTCATGTACAGAATGTTCTGGAAAAATTCAATTGTTCAAGCATCCTTAGATGGAGGAGTCTTAGTTTCAGTATGCAGCCAGTCTCTCTTAGGTTTGCGGTGGCAGAATAGTTCCTCTGCAAGAATCGTAAGGGTTCAAAGCATTTACTCCAGGATGACTTGGTCATAGGTGTTCAGCTTGCTGTAGTTACTGATGGCAATTTTATGTATTTTAAACAGTCAAGGAGAAAAGATTTTCTTGTTGTATTTTACATTGAACATGAAACAGCTCCATTGAGCATATTTATTTTCTCTCTCCTTCCTCCTTGTGTCCGTACACCAATCTGTGTAGATGATCGACTTGGGGGCTTTGATGTCTTGTCATGAGAGGCAGTAGTTTATAGGTCGTTAAAACAGTTTATCACTAATAACTGTAAGATTAACGTTTGAATTATCTGCTTAGTTGTTAACAGCATATTCTCAGAACTTACGAGGCTACGTTAAAAGCTATCAATTTTCTATCTTTTATCAAATGAAGATTAAGCCACTTACATATCTGCTTCTTGAGTATTATTTCCAGTCAGTAAATGGTGTTGCCAGTATCCCATCTGGAGAAGGTGGGAGATTGAGAAGCCCTTACTGACTCCTCCCTATCCAGCTCTTTCCTCAGGGCCAGTCAGCTTCCAAGCCGTGCTTCCGACTCCTGCTGTGACCCCAGCCTGGCAGCCAGGCCTGTTGTCTAAGTGCCACACTCTGCCCTCTGAGCTGCCTGCCCTCCGGCGTGCTTCTCCCGAGCCTCAGCCCTGGAGCTGCTTCTGCAGCGAATGCCCATCTTGCTCTCATGTTCCAGGCTTTTCGGTAGCCTTCCTTAGGAAATAGTTTGGATCTTAAAACAAACAAAACTGGCTCACAAGCCTCCACACAAGGTCTGCTCCTCCTTGTTCCACCTCAGCTATGTGAGATTGCATTCCGCAGATGAACCAGGCCCTCTTGCCTCCAAGCCTTTGCTCAGGGTGTCTCTCCAATGCCGCAGACACCTGCCTCTTCAGATTATCATGGAAACACCATTTCTCTTAAGCCCTCTTCCCTGACTAAATTTCTGTGTGGTCTTTTAGTGCCTGGGCCTTCTAGTGTTGAATTCATTTTGTTTTGTGGTAATTGCTCCTTTAATTACCTTCTTTCCTCTCAGACCGTTACACTTGTGAAGGTGGGTGTAGCATCTTAACCAACTCTGTCTCCCAGCCCTGACATTAAGTGCCCCAAAGTGACAGATACTTGAGTAAACACAGCTGAGCCATTTAATTGTGCACTCTTCTCACTTAATTGTCTGGTTGAAGACACAGCGTTTTGAGTTCCAAGGATACACACCATTGATGAAGGAATTGGGTTTTTGTGGCTCTGGTGTTCTCAGCGAGGGAGCTAGGCTGAGCTGTGGAGTCTAAGGAGCGTCAGTACATGGTATCTGTGCTGTAGGCCTCACATCTCCTGTAGAAATGTCAGTGTCACACATGTGTAGACTCACACACACCTCATATGTACACACACATGCACACACACACATTCACACACGCACTCACATTCACACACTTTATATATACACTCACACATTCACACACATACACTCACATATACACTCATACACATTCACACACACATATATATTTACACATATTCACTCATATATTCACACATTCACACTCACATTCATGCACTTCATATATATACTCACATTCACACACATACACTCACATATATACTCACAGACATTCACACACATACACTCACATATATGCTCATACACATTCACTCATATATATTCACACATTCACACTCACGTACAGACACACACATACACACATGCATTTTTCCCTTTTCCCAGTTTTAATGTAAGTGCTAATGAGCAGACTCCATTCAGTTGGCCGTTTCACGTTCTGCGCTTTAGTACAAGGTCATGTGTAGCTGCTGAGTGAATGGATGATTGCTGTCCTCTAAACAGGGGAGTTAAGAGTGCATTTGCCATTTCTGTCTGCCTAGTTCTGAAACCCTGGAAGGGCTGGATGTTTACATGCACATCTTACAGCTGCTTACCACAGTGGATGATGGCATTCAGGCAATCGGTAAGGTGACCACCTTGGAACGTGCTGTAGTTGCTCACTTAAGCACTCACTATTTTTAAATTACTACTTGTGAAATACTTCTTAAGTGCAGTGTCCTGATACTGGAAAAGCCACATGGAATTTCCTTTTTGACCTGGTGTGCCATGAGTTCTGCCAAGCGGGGGACCCGCCCATCATCCTGCAGGAGCAGAAGACGGTGCTGGCCTCTGTGCTCTCGGTACTGTCTGCCATCAGTGCTTCCCAGTCCGAGCAGGAGCACCTGGACAGAGAAGAAGGCAAGTGTGGTGTCTGCTCACCAAACGAAACCGGTGCCCGCCAGATCACAGGTGCCAGGCCGCGTCTCCTCTTCTCTGGCTTTCTTTTTCAGGTTTTTCCATTTAAAAAGAAAACACCCTTATTCCCCTAGTAACATAAAATGTTAAGTGCTTAATACAAAAGTATTATAAAGTTTATAAAAGGGCCTCGAGGAGGGGCTTGGGGTCCAGCTCAGTAGTGAGATGCTTGCTTAGCCTGAGTGCCCCCTGGTTCAGTCCCTAGCATCAAAAAGGAAGCGGCACCGAACGGTGTGGCTCTGCCCAGAGTCTGCCCAGAGGTACCACCCTGCTTCTGTCACGAATACTCCCTGAAGTCCTCTGTGTATTTACTAACCCCGTTGTTGTGCTCACGATCAGTCGCCGAGTACTTTTGATAAGTTGTATGTTTCAGTACCCAGTGAGGTCAGTCTCTCTTCAGTCTGATATCTCGGTGGTTTTGACTGTTGGACTTGTTTAGTGCTGAATGAGGGTGAAGAGTTCAAAGCCCCGTGTGCTTTCTGATGTTTTCATTGGTATTGTGTTGAGTGTGGCATGTCCAGGAATGCACCATGCAGGTCCGTTTCAGAAGTGGCTTGAGGCTTCTCATCGTACGGATCTTGCATTCTTATGAGGTTTATTCCTGCACATTTTATCTTTTGAATCGCTGTTCTCTGTCACATACTTTCTTCCACTGGGGAATGTCGGACTTCATGGAGGCTGTGGATGTGCATTCACTTTGATTGAACCTTTATGGACTTAGCTGTAGTTTGTTTTTGCTGTGCTTGGGGTCGGACCCAGGGCCTTGCACATGTAGGTAGGAATCCTGTCACCAAGCTACATCCACATTCCTGTCTTACTGTTCCTAAATTCTATGTATTTATTTGTTTGTTTATTTATTGACTGATTGTGTATGTGTGTGTGGGGGGGGCGTGTTTTGCCTGCATGCACACATGTACACCAGATGTCTGGTGCCTGTGGAGACCAGCAGAAGATGTTGGATCCCCTGAGATGGGGATTATAAAGGATTGTGAACCAACATATGGGTGGTGGGGTTTGAACCCGGGTCCTCTAGAGGAGGAGCCAGTGCTCTTAACCACTGAGCCATCTCTCCAGCTTTTGTCTTACTGTTTTTACTAGTAGTTCCCATAATGATCTTGAACTTTATCTGCTATTAAGTCACATCTACTTTTGTCATTTTTTGTTCCCTGACTCCTTTTTCTTATCTAAGTGGGTTGCTTAGTGTCTGGTGTTTTAAGTAACTGGTAGAGATGTCTTTATCTTCTTCCTGTCCATTGGGAATGGCTCTAGAGTTTCTCCATTTAGTGTTACTGGGCCTAAGGTGCTTGTTTTTGCATCTCAAGGGTGTTTTGATCTCTTCCTGTTTTAAGTTTGTTTTTTGTTTTTTTTCTATAAATAAGCACAGTGTCTGAGTGTCAATTCTTTATTTATGGAGAGGTTACCTCACTGACACTGTGACACTGAGTACAGCCTGAGGGAGCTAGTGGAAGCCGTCACGTGAGTACCTGGGAGGAAATGCTGCCCATGGAGACTAGCATGCCTGAAAGCACAGGGCCCTGTGTGTTGGAGGAACGAATGGAATGAGGTTCTGTGGCTGAGAGGGGGCTGAGGGGGGGCGGGTTATGAGTGAAGGGAAGAGAAGCACAGGTCCCTGTGTGTTGGAGGAGCGAGTGGAGTGAGGCTCTGTGGCTGAGAGGGGGGTGAGTTACAAGTGAAGGGAAGAGAAGCACAGGTCCCTGTGTGTTGGAGGAGCGGGGTGAGGCTCTGTGGCTGTAGAGGGCCGTGTGCTGAGAAATGTAGGGAGCTGTGGGTCAGAAGGGAGAAGGGCTGGCCGGCTGTGTGGCTTTCAAGACAAGCAGTGCTCTGGCTTTGATCGAGGCGGGAACAGTAAAAATGTGGGAGTGTTCTACCAGACTGTTCATTTTAGAGACTGGGAGAGGGAATGGGGAAAGGGTAGGGATCTCTGGCATGCTGCTTATTGAGACAAGGACAACTGGCTTTAAACACACTGCCGGGGGTGTCCAGGGAGGGTGGTGAGGGGCACTTTAAGTCAGGAGCTGGGGGGAGGCCTGAGCTAAAAGTGCAGATGTCATGGTGTCAGCTGTGAAGCCGTTCACCCCTAAACCTCAGAGATTTCTTGCTTTGATGTGAAAACTGAGGGAGTCTTATCTCTTAGTGCAGATGTGTTTATCTTGTTCTGGGTTGTCATGCGGCTTGGCCAGTGAGTACTGCCATGCTGTTGTGTGTATGAGATCTTTCTAGTAACCCCCGGGGAGTTTTCTGTGTGAGACAGGAGCGTCCCTTTGTTGCTGTTGCCGGACTAGGCCTTCTTACTGCCGTCTGCTGTGCCGCCCAGACTTCATGTAGTTTTTATGTCGGCAGAGCATGGACGTCGGTGCTAGCTCCTGTCACAGTTCGCTCCCTCCTTACCTCATCAGAGGAGCTCTGTAGGCTGGGGACTATTCCAGTTTTGTGTGCTGCTGTGACATAGCACTGACCAAAACCAACTTGGATGTGGGGAAGCAGTTTGTTAGAGCTTGTAGGTCACAGACACCATTGGTAGAAGTTAAAGTGGGAATCAGAAGCAGAAACCACTCTAATTATAGTCCCTAAAACGTGTGTAACACTAGTTCATTGTGAGCGGGTGGATGGATAGACGAATGAATGAATGAGTGAATGAACAAATGAATGCTTACCTGGCTGGTTTCATTCTCTTGATTTGGTGCAGTGGCTCTTCCCCTAATTGACAGCTTAATTCGGGTGTTGCAAAATATGGAACATTGTCAGAAGAAACCAGAGAACTCCGCAGAGTCCAACACAGAAGAGCCCACACACTGTGCTTCAACCCAGGATGACTTCCATATGAAGATCCTGAAGGATATTTCGTGTGAATTCCTTTCTGCTATTCTTCAGGCGTTAACAAAGGTAGGAAAGAAGTATTGGTGGTGTCTTAGGAGAGGTGTGGCTTGCTGACATCCTGAACTGTAACCTTCTAAGGAAGGGGCGGCTGTGCTGGGATAGAACCAGAGCACAGTCCACAGTAGAGAGACACCCGACCCGTGCGCAGTGGCCAGGCAAACCTGTTGTTAGAGTTTTCCTGCCTGGCCCACAGTCAGGACAAATCTCTCTCATTTGTCAGTCCCACAGCCATTCAGACCCGATCAAGTAAACATAGAGACTTATATTGGTTTTAAACTGTATGGCCGTGGCAGGCTTCTTGTTAACTGTTCTTACAGCTTAAATTAATCCATTTCTATTAATCTATACCTTGCCACGTGGAGCAGCGTGTAGCCCAGAAACCTCTTTTTTTGTTTTGTACTAGCAAAGGCTAAATCCACAATGTAGCTTAATGTGTCACTTGCAGAGGCCTCATTCCCGCCATACTGCAGGTCGAGCGCGCACGCCAGCAACCCGCCAGTAGCTCAAACCGGCAGCTGCCGCTCATTTGAGAGAGACAATTAGGAAGCTGTTTTTAGCTCCGTTTTAGAATCTTTTTTTTTAGGTTTTAGGTGGAAACTCTTGCCCCACGTTGGGCGCCATTTGTTGTTAGAGTTTTCCTGCCTGGCCCACAGTCAGGACAAATCTCTCTCACTTGTCAGTCCCACAGCCATTCAGACCCGATCAAGTAAACATAGAGACTTATATTGGTTTTAAACTGTATGGCCGTGGTAGGCTTCTTGTTAACTGTTCTTACAGCTTAAATTAATCCATTTCTATTAATCTATACCTTGCCACGTGGCTCGTGGCTTACCGGTACTTTACATCTTCCTTATCCTGATGGCGGCTCGCAATGTCTCCCTCTCCAGCTTCCTATTCTCTCAATTTTTCTCTCTGTTAGTCCCGCCTATACTTCATGCCTGGCCACTGCCAATCAGTGATTTATTCATTGACCAATCAGCAACACATTTGACATACAGACCATCCCACAGCACAAACCCAACCACTTGCCCTGTCCTCAGCTCCTCTGTTGTTCTTATGACATCAGAAAAATGTCTTCTCTCCTCCCTTCTCTCCTGTCCTGTGTGATGCTGGGACCTGCGGCCTCTTACGTGATAGACAGATGCTGTACCTGTGAACTGTGACCTCTTACATGATAGACAGGCGCTGTACCTGTGAACTGTGACCTGTTAGATGATAGACGCACTATACCTGTGAACTGTGACCTCTTACATGATAGACAGGCGCTGTACCTGTGAACTGTGACCTCTTACATGATAGACAGGCGCTGTACCTGTGAACTGTGACCTCTTACATGATAGACAGGCACTGTACCTGTGAACTGTGACCTCTTACGTGATAGACAGGCACTGTACCTGTGAACTGTGACCTCTTACATGATAGACAGGCACTATACCTCTGAACTGTGACCTCTTACGTGATAGACAGGCGCTGTACCTGTGAACTGTGACCTCTTACATGATAGACAGGTGCTGTACCTGTGAACTGTGACCTCTTACATGATAGACAGGCACTATACCTGTGAACTGTGACCTCTTACATGATAGACAGGCGCTGTACCTGTGAACTGTGACCTCTTACATGATAGACAGGCACTATACTTCTGAACTGCGGCCTCGGCCCTGCTGTTGTTTTTGTTTTAAGGGGGAGGGTGCACATGTGGGAAGTCAGGACAACTTGCAAGAGTTGATTCTTCCCTTCCACCAGATAGTTATTCTTTTATATATGAAAGTAATAGGACGATTTTACTCAATTTGGGAAAGTTTTATGTTATTATTTTAGTCTTAAAATAACTGTGGTTTTGTGTATGTGTGCACACACATGCAATACTAGGCACATAAACAGACTACTAAAATTTATATTGATAATTTCTGATGTGTGAAAAATATTAGTTTTGTTTGGTTCTTATTAGTGGATATTGTAATTTTATATTGAATTCAACAAGTGAAAATTTGTGTCCTATTTTTATTTACATTTTTTATTAGAGAGCTGGATTATCTTTCCAGATATTTGTATATTGTTTGTGTTTCCTCTTGTAAAGATCTAATTTTTAAAATGTTGTGTTTTTGTGGGACTTGGAGTCAAACCCAGGGCTTCTCACCCAGCTCTATCCCTAGCCTGGTGTATTCATTTTGACTGTTCACATGAATTTCTGGAGGGATACTTATGTCTTAGTCCGTGTTCTGTTGCTGGGAAGAGACACCATGGCCAAGGCTACGCTTGTAAAAGAAAGCAGCTACAGAGGTTAGTCCATTATCATGGAGGGAGCATGGTGTGCAGGCAGATGTGGTGCTGGAGAAGAAACAGAGCTACATCCTGACCTGCAGAGAGAGGGAGACACTGGCCCTTGCTTGGGTTTTTGAAGCCTCAAAGCCCACAGTGACACACTTCCAACAAGGCCACACCTACTCCAGCAAGGCCATGCCTGCTAACCTAATCCTTTCAAATAGAGCCACTCCCTGGTGACAGAGCATTCAAATATGGGAGCCTGTGAGGACCAGTCCCAGCCAAACACCACAGCATCTTCATTTTGCTTTCAGATATTTTTAGATTGTCATGGCTTTAGGTTTGGGAGGAAAAAACAAAAATGTTCCTTTGTCTCTAAGTTACAGGAAGACAGCAGGAAGATGGGTTGATTAAAACCCCAAAACATGTCATGAAACTTCTTAGATGCCACCTTCAGGGAATTTGGGTTTAATCTTGAGGAAACTGGAGTGCTACTGAAATGTTCTTTATTTAATTTTTTTTTTTTTAAGCAAGTAATAGGATCAGTTTGGAAAGATTCTTCCAAAAACCTCAGGCATAAAGGGATAGTTGAGGGCTGGAAGCTAGGGGCCAGCAAATGGGCTTCAGGGTGATGATCTTCAGGAATAGTCTAGAAATGAGAGCCTGAGTGAGGGAAGGTGCATGAGAGGAGTCAGCAGGAAGACTTCCCGTTCAGGCAGCTGGATGAGTGAGCGATGCCCTTCACTGAGACTAGCTGTATGTGGGCACACAAGGCTCTTCATGGCTGCTCAGCGCAGGGCGTTTGAAATGCCAATGGGACTAATTGTGATTTTATATACTGATGTTTATCTGTTTGCCAGATGCAGCATTCGACATTTTTCCTTTTCTGATAGTAAAGTTTCTTTGGTTTGTTGTAGGAAACCGTGGCTCAGGGACTGAAGGAGGGCCAGTTAAGCAAACAGAAATGTTCCTGTGTGTTTCAGAGCCTCCTGCCCCGCTACAGCCCTGTGGTGAGTAGGGTGAATGTACAGGGGGCTGAATCCATTGTCAAAAATGACAGTATACCTTGTAGGATTTAATGCCTTGTGGGCAAGATGGCTGGAGGGTATGTAATTCTTAATCTCAAGAGGAAGGAATCAGCATGGGTTTATAGTGTTCCTTCCTGTTATGAAGTATACAGCCTTATACTGAGTGAAAGCCTAAATTTTTTCAATTAAAATTTTTTTTGGATTTTTTTTGTGTGTGTGTGTGTATGTGTGTTTTCCCTGGATATACATCTGTGCACCATGTGTGTGCAGTTGCCTGCAAAGGCCAGAAGAGGGCATTGGATCCCTTGCAACTGTAGTTACAGATGGTTGGGAGCTGCCATGTGGGTGCTGGGAATTAAACCCAGGTCCTCTAGAAGAATAGCCAGTTCTTTTAACTGATGAGCTTTAATTTTTCTTCTTCCTCTTCTTCTCCTCCTCCTCCTCCTCCTCTCTCTCTCTCTCTCTCTCTTTCTCTCTCTCTCTCTCTCTCTCTCTCTCTCTCTCTCTCTCTCTCTCTCTCTCATGAGATAGGGTCTCATTGTTTAGCTTTGACTAAACTATAACTCGGTCTGTAGACCAGGCTAGCCTTGAACTCATAGAGATTTGCCTGCCTCTGCCTTCTGGAGTGCTGGCATTAAAGGCATGTGCCATCGTGCCTAGTCCTCAAGCCTAATTTTTATGAATACATTTTTATGGTTCTTCACATAACAGTATTTATGACCATTGAGGGCAATTTCAAAATAGTAGTTTTTAGGAAAATGGTCTGTGGAATGAAAGCATAAGGGGACTAGTCAGCAAAGAGGATTATAATAAAATGTCAGTGCACTGCCCTAAAAGGAAAGCAGCAGGGATCTGTGATAGCTCAGGAGTGAAAGGAGCTGGAGGTCTATCACCTCCAGGGTCACCACTAGAGTGTTTCAGGTGACTGCAGGAAGTGCCTTGGCTGACACCTGTGAATCTGCTGCGTGTCTCTGTTGGCTTTGGAAGCCTCAGGAGGAGCATTTTCATAGTTAACCATCAATGTCTTTAAAACTGCCTTTTCCTCCACTACAGTTATTTGGTTCTTTGTGTGACTCACAGGTGGAAGGCTTCATTCAAGCTCTACGTGACGTTGATAAGACTCTGGCTGATGACCTGGAAGAAAGCTTTCCAAGTGTGAAGGCTCAGACTTGAGACCTAAGTTGGAGTTTCTGCTGTCCAAGGAATAAACTACGTTTTTTACGGCTTAAA